AGCAGAGAGCTTTTCATGCTGTAGCCCAGTATTTCCAAGTCCACTGTAGCTGGCAAGGCGACTTGATTTTGTTGTAGTACTATTTGTTTTTTTTTTTTTTTTTTTTTGACAGGCAGAGTGGACAGTGAGAGAGAGAGACAGAGAGAGAAAGGTCTTCCTTTTGCCGTTGGTTCACCCTCCAATGGCCGCCGCTGCAGCCGGCGCACCGCGCTGATCCTGGCAGGAGCCAGGAGCCAGGTGCTTTTCCTGGTCTCCATGGGGTGCAGGGCCCAAGCACCTGGGCCATCCTCCACTGCACTCCCTGGCCATAGCAGAGAGCTGGCCTGGAAGAGGGGCAACCGGGACAGAATCCGGCGCCCCAACCGGGACTAGAACCCGGTGTGCCGGCGCCGCAAGGTGGAGGATTAGCCTATTGAGCCACGGCGCCGGCTCATGTAGTACTATTTGAAATTAAAGGTATCAGGGCAATGGAAAGACTGAGAAAGTCAAATGATCTGAACAGAAATGTATGTCTCTGCAGAGTGGCTAGGAAGAAAACTAACTATGGAGGAAAGCTTTCTTGGTTAAAACAAATTTCAGCAATAAGGAGTCACTGAGAATATTTCTCATTTGACAAATAAAAACACAAAAATTTAAATGCACTTACAAATCATGTAAGCTATTAATAGAAAGGCAAAGATTAAAATCTAAATGTTCTGGTTTATAGATAAGTGGTCTTACTTCTTAGCCACACTCACCAATGGTCTCATGTGGGCCCTAATGAATGCCCTTCTTTAGCTGTTTTTGTACTAAATTAGGTATGCAGACCTATGTACTAATTAAGTATGCAGACTGTTGCTAAATGAGGTGTACTGTTTATTTTCCTGGAGCTCTTCAGAATGTTTCAACTCCAAAACAGGCACTACAAAGTAATACTGAGAGGTTTAATTAGTACAATATATTATATAATATATATCAAATAGTAGACTATAAAAAACAAAAATAGCACTTATCCAGAGCGTGTATCTTCTTCTGTACACTGCCTGCTTTAATTCTCATAAAATTAGGTGGGGCGGATGTTGTGGTGTAACAGGTGTAACAGCCACCTGGCTGTTTGCGACTCTGGGATCCCATACTGGACTGCCAGTTCAAGAGCCCGGCTGTTCAGCTTCTGATCCAGCCTCCTGCTAATGTATCTAAGAAGGCACAGGGTGGCCCACCTACTTGAACCACTGTCACTCAAGTGGCAGACCAAGAGGGATTCCCTGGATCTTTGCTTTAAACTGCCCCAGCCTTGGCTGTTGCAGCCCTTTGGGGAATGAAGTAGTAGATAGGAGATTACTCTCTCTCCCTCTCTCTGTCACTCTGCCATTCAAATAAATAAATAAATAGGTAGATAGATAGATAAGCAATCTTAAAAATCAGGTGTTGAAGAACTGCTACAAACTGTTAGCAAGAGCTAATTCTATGTAATATTTAAAATATGTCAACCATTGTTCTAAATATACATACACGTATGTCCCTCCAAACTCCCTTGATTGTCACAAATCTGAGGTAGGAGATATTTTTGTTCTCATCTTACCGAGGACAAAGGTTCAAAGGTACTAACTAGTGGCTATTCAGTAGGCGTTAATTGAATGTCTCCTGTGGCTAAGCATTATGTGAGCAAAGAGGATTCAAGTGCACAAATAAAAGAAATGATCCTGGATTTCATCTAATTTAGATGACAGCTTTTACCCTGACAGCATCAAGAGTAATTCATTAGCATGAAACTGCTGTCAAAGAGTAAAATCTGGTAAGAAAGGCAGCCTTTCTCCAAGATGTTACAAGTAGATTAGAACTGCTTCCCAAGGAAAAATGGAGGCAAGGAAAGGCAAGCAAGGTCTGGAGCCAGAGGCCGGAACGCAGGATTGAAATGTGTCTAGTGAACACTGGGTTGTGATGTACATGCAAATTAAACACATACTCTGAAGTGCGATTATGAAAACATAAAAAGAACATGAAGTTCATTTTTAGTACTTTAATTATTGTATAATTTATATGTTAAGATAGTGATGGTCTGGACTTACTGGGTTAAATAAGACACTAAAATTAACTTCATAATTTAATTTTCAAGTATTTATTTATTTGAAAGGCAGAATTACAGAGAAAGGAAAGAGAGAGGAGAAAGAGAGAGAAAGAGAGGGAGAGAGAGAGATCTTCCATTTGCTATTTCACTCCCGAAATGCCCAGAACAGCAAGGGCTGAGCTAGGCTGAAGCCAAGTGCCAGGAACAGAATCCTGATCTCTCATATGTGTGACAGGATCCTAATCACCTGGACCAGCCTCCACTGCCTTCCCAGGTACAACATCAGGAAGGTGGATGGAAGCAGAGTAGCTGTGATTTGAAGCAGCTCTCCAATAGGAGACACTGGTCGAGCAAGTGGCAGCCTATACTGTACCACAGCACAAGTCCTTGTAGTTTAATTTTTGAATATGGCTATTAGAAAATTTATATTTACACCTGGGACTTGGCATTTGTGTCTCATATCAGATATCTGTTGAACAGGCTGGGGTAGCGTTTCAGACCAAAGCAAAGGACAGTAGTGAGAAAGACTCAATGCGTCAGAAGCAGGCCCATGAGAGTGGAATGTTGGCAACTATGGAAAAGTGGCCAGAGATGAGGCTATGGACATAGGCAGCCTAAGTTCATCCACTTCAGACTTGGCAATGCCTGGATGTACACCTATATGTCTGGTGCCAGTTCTAGGGTTTCCTTAAAACAACATTGGCCATGATCTAGTAGTCAACTCTTTCTACCCACTCACACACCCACACTTAATCCTTCTTAAACAGACACATCTGACATGAGGTATTCTTTCTTCTTCACTCAACCAAGCATTATCCCAAGAGCTCTGTAGCACTCAGAATCTAATTCCCTGAGTTTACATTCTCTAAGATGACTGCTCGAAAGAATGAAACAGGGGTGGGGGATGATGAGAGATGTTGGGAAAGTAACACATCTCTGCAGAGTAGCTGTTCTGAGTCTTCCTAGTGTACTCATCAACATTTGTCTGCCTGATGTTTCTCTATAATCGCAAATCAAGGAGTCTTTGCCAATTCCCTCCATGAGCATGGCCAAGGATAAGCACAATGGGATGGTCCCTTACAATACTTTTATTTATTTTTTTAAATAAATTTTCTCATGAATTTTTGAAGTTTACAACATAAAGTTATAGGATACATATAGATACTAAAATGGTTACTTTAGTGAAGCAGATTGACTTATTTGTCATGTCATGCAGTTATTTTGGGGGACCAGAGCAATTAAAATTTACTTAATTCACTAGCACCATATACATTTTTTCTTCCATTTCACCAATCCTTTCTTCTTGTTCTCTAAGTTTTTTACATTTCAACAAAAAGCATAATGAGTTTTATTCTACCATATGCTCTGAATATGAAGCGGTCACATTGAATCTATCCAGGAAGAAAGTATGGATACATAGAGCTGTCATAGGTACATCACTGATGCATGAATGAGGATCAAGGAGATGAAAAAGAGCAGAATTCATGAGGAGGTAGTATTCCAATTGATTCCAGGTAAATAAGTCAATGCTTACCCATAAACTTATGGGAGAAAATCTAAGGTACAGAAATTAGAACTGAGCAAAATTTTAGGAAAATGGAAAAAATTCACATTCTGAAAATTAGCAGTTTGGAACATAAGTCATAATGACATTAGCATTTTGGAAGGGATGATGGAGAAATTGATAGATCAATGAATGCCTTGCCAAGTAACTTAGGCCTTAGGGATGTAGGGAGACACCAAAGCTGTTTCAACAAAGAGGTATGTATTAAACTTTGTTCACAAAATCAGCATCATGGTACTATAAAAATAGTTTCTTAGATGTGTCACCTTCTAATGTTGACTTAAAAATTCTGACAAAATGAAATTTCTTATCTTCAATTGCTTTCTTTCCAAGAAACTTAGCATTATCTATCTAAGGAAACCAGCATATAATAGGAATTTATGCATCTCTACTCAAAATAGGAGAACACTGTTAGAATATGTTTCTTTTACTTAAAGATTATTATTTTTAAGGCAAAGCTACAGAGAGAAAAACACTTGTGTGCACACACACACACACACACACAGAAAGAGAGATGAGAGACAGTTCATTCTTCCATCTGCTGATTCACTACCCAAATGGAGGTAACAACCAGGGCTGGGCCAGCATGAAGCAAGGAGCATGAAACTCCATCAGAATGTCCCATGTGTGGGACAGTAACTTGGGCCATCTTCTGCTGCTTTCATAAGCATATTAGCAGGGAACTGGATTGGAAGTAGAGCAACTGGGACTTGAACCATTGCCCATAGTGGGGTGCTAGCAGTTTCTGACAGGCTTAACCTGCTGTGCCAAAACACCAACACAGAACACATTTCATTAATGCAAAGAACATATGCATTGGCACCATCTTGATCTAAGTTAATAATCTACCATAACTTTATAAATTGTGTATAATTTTTGAATCTCAGTTTACTAACCTACAGATGGAGTTGAAAGCATCTGCCTCAGTGGATACTTTGAAAAATTTTTTTGGGGGGTGTTCATGTAAGTACTTTGGTCACATTCTGTGTTTGTAATTTAGTGTAAATGATCATTTTCACTAATTCTGGAATTATTCCTCTTAAAATCTATCTTCAAAATGAACTGAATTAGATGCCATTAGATTCAGATTACAATTGAAACAAAAGAACACACTAACACTGAAAAGAATGTGTTTTCAACTTTCTTAGTATAATACATTAGCTACAGAAGACAGAAGAAACCACTTAAAATTCCAAACAACACATAATAAGAATTTAAAGCAAGAATCAAAGCCTAGATCCACATTTGGTCTAAAGCACATCCTAACTGACCCTGAACAAAAATCCAAATTCTGTTGTGCACAGATGGCAGGAAACAATATTCCTGTGTTGCCAAGAGTATGTGCAGACTGAGAGAAGATGAGATGACTTATTAAAATTATTCTTTTAGCATCACCTTTCATGAGGACTTCAAGACGTTTCAAACTAAATGAAAATCTTTCAATGACTTCTCAGAGAATGGGCAATGAATACAGGATTCTGATGCTTTGCCGGTATGTATTTCAATGTGGAATAAGATTTCAATTTGGATTAGTGTGCAGAGTCTCAAAGACCCAAAGCTGAAAATGCTAACAAACTTTGTCATCTGAGCTGGGGAGACAAAAGAATAAGAACTCTTCTAAACAGCTGAATTGAGCATTGAGCCTGCCCAGGCTCTATTCTGTCCCAAATTCTTCCTTGGGAAAATATGTTTACTCCTGGGGAAGGCCTGTTCAACATTTTCTCAACACATAGCACTGGCTAACTCCAGATTTACTGATCCCTGGGGCCTTATTTTTCTGGTTTGCCAATCCAAATGATGCTTTCTCAACACTTGTGTTGGCTGAATTATTTAAAATGGTTTAAATGATATTTTGAATTTCCTTTTTTTTAATTAGCTGACTGTGCCTAGGGGCCAGATGGCAATGAATGCTGCTGCTGTTAATTTAAATAAATAAAAATAAGAGGTCAGGCAAATTTCCAAATGTTCTCTATGAAGCAAAATACAAATATATCTCTTTACTTTTCTGTTCCTTGAATTTTCCTTTTATTTTGCTTCACATGCAGAGAGACAGAGAGATGGAAAAAGAGACAAACAGACAGAAAGAGAGGGCTCTGATCCATTGGTTCTCTCCTCAAATATATACAACAATTGAGGCTGGGCCAGGCCAAAATTGTGATCCAGTAATTCAGTTGAGTCTTCCAAATACTCAAGCCATCACCCTCTCTTCCCAGGGTTCACCTTAGTAGGAAGCTAAGTATGGGGCCAGGACTTGAACCCAGGCATTCTAATATGGGAGTCAGGTGTCTCAATCAGTGTCTTAAACATTGGACCAGATGCCTGTTCTCTTGTGTATGCATTCAATAAGCAAATGTCAGGTTCATTTATACTTAACACATCAGAATGTTTTAAATTGCTAGTTGATGTAAAAAATATTATGAGGATCTATAATATCTAGCTTTTGTTTTTGGATAGTGAAATTTGAATGGTCTATTGGTTTTAATAGGTTGATTTTGATGCTATACTTGAACAATACAAATGATTATCACATTCAATTTATGGAAAATATATTATGCCTTGAGTATTTTTTTTCAATATGGAATTTTAAGAGGAAGATATCTGCCGCTCCATCATAAAAGCAAGAGTAAAGCAATTGGGTATTTGAGGAGGTTTTAATATTGAAACATTGGAAATGATCCTGAATGTGAATCCATTCTAAGCTGAAAAAAAATGTTCAGCTTGGAAGACTTTATAACTTGGAGAAATTAACAAATACATTCAACGTATTCTGAATCTACACATTTTTAAAAAGATTTCTTTTCTTTCTTTTTTTAATTAATTGATTTATTTGAGCGACAGAGTTACAAAGAGGAAGAGAGAGATCATCAATATACTGGTTCACTCCCCAAATGGTTGCAAAGGCTGGAGCTGAGCCAGTCTGAAATCAGGAGCCAGGAGCTTCTTCCCAGTCTCTCATGTGGGTGCCAGGAACCAAGCACTTGGGCCATCTTCCACTGCTTTCCCAAGCCTTTAGCAGGAAGATGGAATGGAAGTGGAGCAGCCAGTGGGATGCTGGCACTTCAGCCAGAGGATTAACTTACTACTCCATGTGCCAGCCCTTGAATTTATACATGTTAAGGATTGGGGTGGACAAATCCAAATAGAGTTGTGGAAGTTTCCCTACCCGTTACCAAAGGCAGTTTCAGAGTAAATTAGTCTGAATCAAATTGTAGGTTGGGTTTAGCCTAAATAACAAGTCCTATATCTCAGTTATTATCACAATAAACACTTTGTGGAGGAAAATAAGGATTACATTGATTGGAACCCCCCAGACCCAAACCAACCAACACTTTATCATGTGCTTCCATATTCATCACAGTGACAGAGATAACTTGATGAATTGTGTCTTCACTCTTAAAAACTCCACTCAGAGTGAATGCTACTCCAACTCTCACTTCATTGACAAAAACATCACATTCTGTATTAGTCAAGATTCTCTAAAGAAACTGAAGCAACCGGATACACATCTATAAAAATAGGATTTGCTAAAAGGAATAGCTTGTATGATTATGGAAATTAGCACATTCAGATCTGTAATGACAGCTTGCAGGGTTGAGATTTCAGAGAGTTGAATGTATAGCTCCAGTTTAGATGCTAACAGGTGGAGATGGAGGAATATTGATGATGCAGACACAGACTGAAGGCTCTCAATGGAGGAATCCCCCAGGCTTGGAGAGGTCAGTGTTTCTGTGCTTTTCAGGCTTTTAACTGATTAGATGAAGCCCACCCACGTTATGGAGAACAAAGTGCTCACATAAAGTTCCTTGATTTGGATATTGATCTCTTTCAGACACACTCTTCAATTGACCTGTTCCATTAACTATGACAGACACTCATACTCAACTTCAAAAAGGAGGAGAAAGTTAAATAGATCATTTTCCTAGATTGCTCTGAGCTTAAACTATTTGTAGATTCTAGCTATGTCTACTGTACTAACAAAAACAAAAAAATCTTAGAAGCCAACTAAAGTAAAAATCTAGGAAGCTAGACCACACCAAAAAGAATAGGCCTGACGGGTTTAGAATAAAGTGAAAGTATACATAGCAGAATTAAAACTGACTGCAAGCAAGATTGAATCTTGATGCTTTTCATCTATAGGGAGAGATCTTGCTAATTTCTAAACAATCTCCAATTCCTAATCTCCAATTCCTAATATCTAAAACAAACCTGAGAGATTTGTGGCAAAATCAACTTTTCTCCTTTAATATATGTTATGTGTTTGTCTCATTCAGTCAATGGGTTACATTTAATTAACAATATAATTCTGCATTGCACACTTTGAAATAAACAGCATAAAAGCCTGTCATTTCAAATCTATTTATGGTGCATTTGCTAAAACTCGAGTAGAGAGTGATAAATTTAAATACTTTCCTTCTTGGATCCAAGAGCTCCAATGAATGACCTAGTGTTTTCCAGATAGAAGTTCCCTAAGACTTTTCCTTTGTGGAAGCATCCTCCATGTTAGGGGGACTTCATTGTTCCTTGCCTACATTTAAAATCTCATTTATGTCCAACCAGAAACCCCGGTGGAAAGGCCCTGGGATCCAAAGTTAAATGACAGGAAACTGACTATACTATATCTGTTTTTAAGTGAATTATTATAGCAGTGAGTCCTAGTTTTGTCATCCACACAGTGAAGATAATACTATATTGCTTTTATGAAGATAAAATACCATCTTACAAACTCAAAGTTCAATAGATAGTAGGCATTCATTAAATATTTGTTTCCAGGCCAAGTGTTTCTCGCGACGTTATTTTAAAGGAGATAGTGTACTATAGTATGGAAAAGGGCACATTAGATTGCCCTTGTGTATAGAATTTCACAACCACTATGTAACCTTTGGCAAACTAACACTCTGAGTTACAGTTTTTCCCATCAGTTAACTTGGATAATAATCTAAATTGCAAACATATGACACTGATGAGTTCAATAACATAATCTACCAAAATGTTTTATGCCCAACAGACAGTAAACAATGCACAATGTATACACATATTATTATTGTTTTGAGGTTTTGTTTAGTTTTTATTTAAAATATTTGGTTGACAAATCGATATTGTGTATATTTAAGGTATATAATCTGATGATTTGCTATACATGTACATTATCTAATAATTATCACAGATTAGTTATACACCCATCATCACCCAAAGTTTCCATCTTTTGTATGCTGGGAATGTACTTACAGTCAACTCTCATCAAATTTTAGGTATTCTTACTAAATTTGAGTATGTGAAAGTGTTTCGGATGCTATCTTATGATCTGAAGTGTTATTTTCAAAATAATTGTTTTTTAAAGCTATTTTTTGTTTAGAGAGAGAGAGAAAGAGAGAACACGTGAGCCAGCGCTCCTCTCCGCTGGTTCACTCCCTAAACTTCCACAACAGCCCAGACTGGCCCTACAGAAGCCAAGAACCAGTATTTCAGCCCAGGTCTTTATTTGGGTGGCAGTAATCCAATTATTTGAGCTATCACCTTTACCTCCTAGGATCTGCATTAGCAGACACTGGAATCAGGAGCCTGAGCTGGGTGTAGAACAGGAGCGCTCCAATGCCAGGTGTGATTGTCTCAACCAGCACCCTTACTGCTATGCAAAAAGCCCTCCCCCATTATTCATTTTATCATGTCAGTGTGCTAGTAAAATTGTGTTTACCCTTTCAGACTCCATGAGTAATGTGCCCAATTAATGACTACTTTATTACTGACACCAATTGTTAGCGAAGGAAGAAATTTTTAATTCAGTGTTTTTCACTTTCTTTTTGGATGTGGAAATACTTTCCCTTTCCTTTAAGTGAACAAATAGAACTCAATCATAAAATGATTTCTTTAATCTTAAATTGCATGACAGGTTGGTTTTCGAAAATTGTTTTAGTCTCTTCTGTTTTAAGCAGTTCATTATTTATGCTCTGTGTCATATTCTTTATTCTTACATTTGTTGTCCTGAGCACTTATATGTTTAGAAAAGTAAGCCATTGTTTTCAAAGTCAAAAGTGTTAATATATTTGAAAAATTACTCAATATAACTATTGTAATAACATATTACGGAATAATCTTTTAAAAAATGAAATCGTAGGCCTACTGAGCTATTGTCTGTTTCTCCTAGTTACTTTTCTCACTCACAGACAAATGTAGGCGCATATGCCTTACCTTTTCTGAAAAATCTGAAAATATCAGTAATATTATCAAATACACTTAAACATTCTGTACCGTTGCCTCAAATATGGATAATCTATTATGTTTGAATAAATCGTATTTTAATTTTAAATGTTTCTTATTGATTAAATCCCAAACACTTTAGATACTGTGTTCAAAACTAGGCATTTGCTCACAGATCACCATTCAGCCTGGTATAGCTTACAATTCAGTAGAAAAGATAGGCAAAGCCACAAGTAAGTTCAAAAGAAGCCAGTTTAATGTGTACTTTCCAGGTGGTATGTGAAGCAAATTACC